TATGATGAGTTTTCGGCAAGACTTTCTCCTGACCGGGATCGATTTGAAGCCGGGAGCATCGTCTCGATTTGAATCCCATTTGCCTCATCCATCGCAAACAACCGGATTCTTCTCCGAGAACTCGGAATTCTCCATGACATTCTGACAATCAGAACTTGCAAATATGATGCGTTCGCAAAAACCACACGCTCGACTTCAAAAGTCCGCAGAGGAGCGATCGCATACGTTCGGGAGATTCCGACCCGCTACGTTACCGGATTTGAAACGACCAAGAAAGAACACAGCGAGTCGAAGGGTCGGGTACTCTTTCGTCTGTTCTGTGAATCTACACATATCCGTCTCAACTTGAGCCTGACTACATCATTGACTCTCAGACATGCACAACTTCTCCGATCCATCCCTAGGCCCGTTTGGATTCGACCGAGCACGAGATCGCTCGCTCACTGTCTGTCTCAGACCGTGGGACATCCAGGGGCGACTCTATCGGCTAATTACTCAATTCAGGAAAAACTCAGGTACCTTTTCGCTGTAGTCCTCTCGTTCGTCGAATATGAGGATCGGCGTTCGCTCACCGCTCGGCGCCTCGGTCCGAACTGAGAGATCTCGGAGAAGCACGAGGACCTGAACGTCTCCATGGATACGACCCAGTACCCAGCACAACAATGCGATGTCGTGCAGAAATCACAGTTTCGAGCTTCCACCGTCCTTGGTTTTGAAGTTTCCACTCGTGAAACGTCGCTTCGTCTCATTCCCGACCGTCGCATATTTGCTCAGATGAAGACATGACGGAGTTTTCAGGGAATGTCCGTATGCGCTCGTGAATAATTGACCTACTTTTCCGGCGAGTCCACTGACTCACCGTCCATCAACTATGCCTCGAACATTGATGTACGGCGAGTGTAAACTCTGCGAATTGAACGCCGAACTCCCCGAATATTCCATTCGAGGGCAAGGGGCATCTTAACATACGTCCGATGTCATACTCCCAAAATCGAAAGATACGGTTTCAACTCCGATTACGATCACGGTGAATAGGAACTCTTTCTGTTCCTCCGAGACCGGTTTTTCGCGTCAAATCGTTCACTCTTGATCACAGTGGTTAGGGGTATCTTCGAGCACTCCGTAAGATTGCTCCGATTCGATTCAAACCAGAGCGGAACCAGACCATACGGTGACCCGAAAACGTCCACATTGTCAATTATCCACAAGCCGGAGCCCGATACAATACATGAATATTTCAGCTAGGCCGATCTAGCGATAATCCTTTTTATGCCCATGGTTAAGCTTCAGCTAGCTGATCGGGTGGAGCAGCTTCGGAAATTCGACAGCCGGACTTCCTCAGACTTGGCCGCCATCTGGGAGCGTTTCTACCGGCTCAAGCGACCAACCGGTTGTCGGTTGCCGGGACGCCCTTCGTTGCGGGCTGTTGTGCGTCAGTGGGAAAAGTAGAGCAGTTTTTTCTGTCGGAAAAATCTCTGTGGTTTGACGCGAGGCCTTTCGCGTCTGCTTGAGGTCTCTGAAGGATCATGGGGTTTCTGGGAAATTCGCGTGATTCGTGCTGCGATCGGCAGAAGACATGTCGAGAGAGACCGTCTCAAATCAATTTAAAAAAAGGGGTCCATGTCTGAAGGGACACTCCTACCTAGTCCCAGGTCCAGCATGGCGACGATGGAAGGAGATGGCGTTCGCACGTCGCTTTCTTCCGTTGAACTCTGTCTGCTAGATTGAAAAACGGCGTTCAATATAAATGTTTGTCAGCTCGTACACGAAACGACAAAACTATTTGCCGTGACCAGGATTCGAACCTGGGTTATTGCGGCCACAACGCAAGGTACTAACCACTATACGATCACGGCTGAGTCCGATGGACGTGAAGTGAAGATTTTCCCAAGATCTCATTGAAATATTCAGGTCGCAAGCATGGGAAACTCGAATCAAATGGAGCACGTGGCTCCGGACCGAGCAGATCTCCCGATGATAAGGACCACACTGTACCGGCAGTAAGTCGGAACAATGATGAGTATCTTCCCTTGGGTTGTAAGACTCCGGGTAGTGATTAGTGATCACCACAGCCTGAGAGTCATACTTTGCAATACTTTGCTCCTAATGGAGACTCACGCTCAGGACCGCAAGCCCCCCCCCCCCTCAGGGAAGCCTGGCTGTGGTCGAACTGTGGGGATCATCGAGCGATCAGAGATCAAGAGAGAGATCGACACTGAGTCGACCGCGACCGCGAGAATACAGCTTCCTTTGTGTGCTCTGTCCGGGCAGAGAAACAAACTCTAGAATGCACCCCAAGAAATCCGTCCAGAAGTCGATGAGACATTCCGGGAGATATTATGGAGCCTGCCTGCCGAAGTTCGCTGACAGTGGGAGTCATATTATAGTGAGCCCATCTCGCCGAGGCGGAGAGGGATAGGATCGCGCGGATTGCTGGAAGTCTCTTGGTCCAATAAATAATTAGGCGGGATCCTCGCTTATGTCAGTCGTGCACATAAGTGCTCCTCGAGGTTTCTCCCTCTGCGATAGTGCTTATTTTCGCTCAGACCCTCGCCTGTATCAAGTGTCAGCTTCGATCTCAAGCCTCAGATAATGAGGGAAAAAATTGGGAGAATTCTTCGCATTCCTAGCCGGAGCGGGGACGCTCATCGCAGCGCGATCACGATTGACCGAGGGGAGTTATTCCCTCGTTCTGGAAAGCCGCATCTGCCGAGTCGTCAAGATCTCCTGATAGAATATTCGGGAGGAAATCCGGTGATCGGGATTGGCTCAGTTCGAGACATCCATGATCGGAAACCTCGATTGATTTCTGCGCCGAAATCCAGTGTCTTTCCGTTGACGAATGAGACAGCCTCACTGCACGTTTCTTCGACGACTTCGGGCGTAGAAGTTCTCTTAATATACGAGCGCTCTCCTGACTCATTTCCGAGGCTATGAATGCACGGACCCACCGAGAAGTGGTTTCGTTACTTAATGTTTCGTAATTTGCGCTTCTTCAAGAGCAGAGAGGGCAAATAACGGATCAATCGGAGTTCTCGTAGCCAAGGAGACCGGAGTCTTTCATTGCTGGCCACGTAAGTACGTGCATCGAGTGCGCAGCTGTACGACGATCTCGTGGTCTAAGTTTTGAATTTCTCTCGACATCTTACCCCATGAAACCTTACGCGATGGTGCTTCCGTCCACGTAAGTGCATCGTAACATCGACTAGGTGACTCTGGTCTGGAGGAGCCCACGCAGGCGACACGATGCGTCACGCATCTTCCTTGGAAAAAGGGCTTCGAGCGAATGAATTTTAGTTAGGATTCATTCGAAACCGTTTCGATTTTCGCAGGGCTTTTTTCGGGTCTTCCGTCGGAAACTTCTTCGTGAAGTCGTTCAATACAGGCGAGGCCTATCTGCTACTACTATTGGTTTTCGCTTTCGTGGTGAGTTGTTCCCCTCGACAGGCCCTCCTCATACGTACTCTGGAGTTTACGCGAGACGCCTGTGAGAATCAGAGCAGCGAGGATTCCTCGAGGTTGACAACCCTGCTGAAATTGAAATTTATTGTTCTGAATGCACTCACGTCCGGAGCCACGGCCCGGACTCATAGACAATCACTTTCAGCTGTTTTACGCGGCTTGCATACGAGGCCGATCGACGGCTCCTGAATGGTTCTGTCCATGCTTGCCCGCTCGCCACTCGGAATCCGTCGTAGCCGAGGAAGAATCCACCGTAAAAAATGGATCGGCGGAGTATTGTGGAAGGGACACTCCATGGACGATGCCCTTGGAGCCGACTTCTACGTGGCCTCCCTGGCACCGAGTAGAGAACAAGGCCAAAAGACCGTGCCCAGAGACGATTCCTAAAGAAGACCTTGCTCAATCCTCAGATGACTTACGGCCTGGGCTACTTGGTCATGTGCAAGATATCGCCCAGATACAAGGAAACCATGAATCCCCAAGTGGAAGAAGTGGAGGTGAAGGCGAGCGAGAATGAGGCAAGTTTTTTTTCGCATCGTGTCGAGTGTCCTGATACCTCGTACATTCACTACCTGAGACGGTCTCATCAACTGCGGAGATTGTTGCAGGCTGAAGGGCAAGTCGACGGCGAGGGACTTGCCGAAGGAGGAGAGGAAGGCGCTGAGGAGGACGGCGGCAGCCACGGGGAGACGGAAAGTAGTGCCGAAGAGGAAGATGAAGCACATGTACACGCAGACGTAGCGGAACACGAAGAAACGAGCGAGAGTATCGCGAAGACAGATCTCACGGATAACTTGAGGCAGCGAAAAGTCGCGCTCGAAACGTCCGCACCGTCGAAAACGGTATCGGGTGGAGAAGAAGAGAAGAGCGAAGAGGAGGAAATCATCATCAGTCCATTGTTAGGAGATGAAGCGGAGCCGAAGAAGAAGAAATAGAGTGACATGTTCAACTATCGTCATTGAGGTCGAATTCCGCGGAGGTTGGCGGGGGAGCGATATCCATATCTGGATGACGATAGCTCCAAACACAGAGCTGCGAGGGAGTTTCTCCTCGGCCCGTCGACATCTGGATCCACGCAAGATGAGCTCGCGCTCACAGAAATTTCAATTTCCCGGAGTTTGCGGCAGAAGTTCGGACGGTTCGAATGCCTGAGTGACATCGGGGGAGTTAAATCCTTGAACTCGTGTGAGATGGATGTCAGACTTCTCGAGTTGCGCGTGTCGAATAAGCTCAAATGGGACGAGTCTGTTCCATAAACAATGCATTTATATACCTTCATTATACAATATTCTCGGTGTTCTCAAGTGAGCGAACGAAGTTTCTAAGAAGCACTCCAATAAATATCTACACTGTAGCGGAACGCGATTCAGATGCCTTCATTTGCTCTGTAGACGAGCTACAGGGGTCAGTCTGGTGGGGTCGCAGGTACGATACCCATCGACGTTATCCCCTAGATCCGGATAGTCTTCGAGGGACACAGCGGATCGGAAACTATTCCGATCGGCCATCGTCGTTCATTTCTTCATCACATCGGACTTGTCGTCAGTTTCGGGAGGACTATTCGCAGCACGATACCTAAGAATCGGGAGTCAGCGGATCTAAGGCCGCACGGCCATGCGTTTTCTAGACCGTGAGGATGCCTGGAGCGCGAGAAGCTCCAACGAATCTGTACAAAGCGACCCAGCTTATCAGAAGTATTTGGTTTGAGTCAGAGCGCTCGATTCTTCCTTCTCGGGATCTGTGAAAGCATCCCAATTGGTTTGGCCGACTACGAAACCGATAGCCTTCGCTCGGTTGATCCTTTTGCGCTCTTCGATATCCGCCCACCGAACTCTCTTCCTTCCACTGGTTGAACGCATCTCGTAGTCATCTGTCACGGTCAGGAAATCGTCCATCGTGATAGCAGCGGATTTCTTCTTTATTCCATCCAAGCGCGCTGCCGAGAACAGAGAAATATTCAGATGATGATCGACGCCCGATCAGGGGAGAGGTATGTTCCGAGGAGAGCAGGTGGAGGGAGACTTGAAATTTCAGCATTCCAAGCACGTATCAGACGACATCCGAACTTACATAATTCTGCCTCGGTTTTCTCCATTCTCTCCCATTTGCTTGGCACGAAGGTCGCTTCTCCAGTCGGCTCTTCGAGTTTCGCTTCACCACCTCCATCCAAGCGACATTGCTCGTCGCTTTGTTGCGCTTCGTCCATCTCGACTTCTTGGATATCGTCCTCACTTTCTAGCAATGGTCTTGGATCCAACGCCACGTACGCCCCAGTGAGCTCTTCCCATTCCGCTTTCATCTGTGGAGGATTCCAATGGGATTAGACTCTTGCAGTTGTTACTTTAGAGCTATCAGCTCAATGGAGCCCTAGCTCTTGTAGGTATACACGCGGGGACGCCTCAGAAAGACGACTCCGGGAGACAAATGCGATCGTGGAGCGGGGCCCGCGAGCCGGTTGCACCGGTATTTTTGCTGCTGCTGTTTGATGCGAAGGTGGGTCGAAGAGGTCGTATCCTTGAGGAGGACACTCGAGCATGAGAGAAATCGGAGAGCTATCCCGGTCATTCCTAGCTCAGCAGATGTCAACCGTGGACCTTCAGCATGATTTTCAAGGTTGAGCGGAGTGATTTGGAAGTGAAGGGGGAGCGAGCTCATATTATATGCATGAACCATGAGTTCCAGTACCAGCAGAGCTCTCGAACTCGACGATTGTTTCCGGCTCTGATTCGAATGGTCCCAGCCAATGTCCTATTCTTCAGACCTTCTACACGATTCCGGGAAGCTCACTCCGACTGAATTTCGATGTCGATGTTTGAAACCAGAGGGCAAGTAGCTAAAGAGCTGATTAAGAGCTCTTTCCTTGAACTCGCATCACCATTCACTCGAGTCTACCCCTCCCGCACGGTTCGAGGGAATTCCACGCAGGGATGCCGTTCGTCGAGGTTTACTAGCCATGCTATTCGCAGAGCAGATGATTCCTAGCAGCGCAATTTTCCATTGGATGCGCTCCGAATCTCAACTATGCCTCTCTCAGCTCTCGTGATATCATCGTCGAACCCGTCGAAGCCATCAATCAAAGAGTTAGGGACGCGGACAACCCTGCCAAGGCTCAGTTCTGCGACGTAGAAGGCGGAACTAGTCTAGTCTCCTCTCCTCAATGGTCAGCGGAGCCGCCCTGGATGCCTCCGGGCGCCCCTAGGAGAGCAGTCGTCAGAAGTCAAGGGGCCGTTGGGCCGATAGGTCGGACGCTTCCTGCTCCAACGGAGCTCGTGGAGCCTCTCGTACCTCTGGAGAACGGATATTCGAGACTAGGAATATCCCACGAAGGGTTTTGCACAGACGCTGGGGCACTTATTCCCCCATCAAGGTCGACACTAAGGGTACTCTCCAAAAGCGTCCCAGCATCCGAGGACATTGGATTGGAGGAACATTCCACATCGGATTTGGGGGCCTCGAGTATCCGGTATCCGCACGTTTCCGTCTTGCTCCGAAACGGTGGTTATCTAGAACTCACCTTCTCAATGCTTTCCAGCGACCGCTTATGTACATTCCTCTCGGAACAAAGCCGAGGATCGTCGATATCGGTCTCCATGATATATATCGCGTACGAGTGTTCTTTCGCAGCGCCCACGAAGCTGTCGACCTTCGAGAGTTTCTCATTTGGTGCGTCTACGACAAGAACATCGAAATGTCGGGCTTCCAATTGCTTGGTGAATGATTTTAGAAGAGCAGCCTCGTAAGTCGACTCCATTTCACTATCGTATTCGTAAATCATCCCCTGAAAAGGAATTATTCCGACGAATGCCTCGAGTCTGCTGCGGTTCATGCGAGAAAATTATTTCTCGCCGTTTTTCCTTCGTTTCCGCCGTAAATCGTAAATATCAACCAATTTCAACCTTTTGGGTTTTCTTCCCGGTCGGCGTCTCGGTTTCGACATCGCCTTCGACTAGGAAGTAATCATCGATGGACAGAACTCGAAGCTCCCCAGATCCGTGTTTGGCTTCGAGCTCTCTCAGGGTCTTGGCTAAGTGACTTTTTCCGGATCCGGGCAGGCCCCGGAGAACGATCGCCAATTTGGCCGGCCTGGCGACTCGTCCCGGGTGAAGGAAGATCTCGGCCGCTGACCGAAGTTCGGGTTTACTCGGAACGGCTTCCGAAGTAACGCTGCACGATCTGTAAAATTAGAGAAAATGGGTCGCGAAAACTGGCTCAAGTGTCTCGTCGACGTTTCGGGATCAGCGAATTCATCGAGAATCACCTTAGATTTGGCGGGGGGGATAGGCTCCATCGACGAGAGAAAAGTGTCTTCGGACCTGCGAGCGATCTGGAAAACAGTCTGTGACTACGGCGCAACGACTCTGGGCTTCTCGCTCATTCAACATCGATGAGGGAGTTGAGCTCGGCAATGTCTCTCAGAATACCGAAATGGTACCTTTCTGAGCTGGAGGCGATGGGTTCCATAGGATCAACTGGAGCAGCCATCGTTCGATGATCGGTCTCGGAAGGGGGGCCGTACTCGAAAACTGCAACAGACTTCGTTGAGTTCAGCGGCATGGGATCGAGGAATCGAAAGAACAGGCGACTTATTACCAAAAGTCGAACATTTATTTTTGTTTCCTCCGTTACATTTCGGAACGCGTAAAATGTGACTGAATCATTAAAGTAGCTCCGAGACTGACATGCATCCGACTGAGCCCGAGCTTCGAGAGTCCAGAGAGGAAACAGAGAATGACAGAAACAGCAGATCCCCCGAATTTCGAGGCTGATTTGGTCTCGTTCGATGAGGAGAACTCTCCCAGAACCTGAGCTCCCTTGTCCATGATTACAGAATTCTCAATGGCTGACTTTAGAGAAGTCAGAGCCTCTACGAAGAAGAGTTCAAACTGTACGCCCCGAATTGGAAATTGCTAATCTGCCTCAGGGGGGAAACATAGGCTATCCGGGTCTCTTAAGCAGAAACGAATCCATTCTCCATTAGAAAATATCTCACGTAGAGCACTCACCTAGCTTTTCGCTGTTTCTCGAAGTCGCTGGCCCCCTGTCACCCATTGTTCCATCATACAAGTCAAACCCTTTCAAAATATAACATGCTACACAAAGTGTTGCTTGATCTATCTAGAAATTTCATTTGCTGGTTTTCCCTAAATTTGTTGTTCTTCTAAGTTTCTGGAGACTTCCTCCCTCGATCCATTTTCCATGAGAATCTGCTCTCAAGATACGGACTACCACTGTTAACGATGGCTTTTTCTTTGATCGGTGTTCTGAACCTCGATTTGCCAATTACTAGTGAAGGGCAAGCTGCTTGCCATTCTTTCTCCATGGCATGCAGCTAAGGTGCTCGGAGCAATTTGATTCGATTGTTGAGATTTCCTCCTCGTTGTCAGGGTTTATTGACACCAGAAACATTATGTCAGGAGACGGTTCAAGCAGCGACAATAACAGTAGCTGCTAAAGAATTTCCGAATATCGTTGTTTCATGATTGACAGTTCTGGAAGTCTTTTGTACATAGAAATTGGGAGTGAGGAAAAGAAGAGAAAAAATGACGGAGAATTCACATGTGTGTGAGTCAATGATCTATTCCTCTTCATTTGCAGGGGAATACAACATGCTTCGTTTCCTAGGTTTCCTTTCAGCTCCGACCTCACGCGACGATCAGAGCGAACGTCGCGACGGCGAGCGATGCCGAGCAGTAGGATGGGAGCCAGTTAGAGAGCTAGATTCTGACTGTGAAACATTCCGCCGAAGGTTCTCTCCATCTACCGAGGAGCGTCGACGAGCTACTCTCTCAGCCAAAAGGATCGATCGAGCTCTCATCTTGCGCGTCCTTCGTTCGTTCGGTTTGGTTCACTCACGGCCACTCGTCGCCTTGCACTTGCTTGAGTGGCTCAGAAAGGCAATCTGGACACTCGCTCTCCAAAAGTGTGATGCAGTTATATTACAAATCAAATTTACAAATTTGCCGTTTCGTAATCTTCTTGGCTGGTTGTCCGCCTACTTACTGGCGGCAGACTCTTCATTGGGAGAACTTGATTCGTCTTTCCGAGCCTCGGTCCCGGGGGGTCCTGCAGATCCGGGGCCGCCTCCGCCAGGTGGTCCTCCACCGCGGCCTCTTCCTCTGAACGGTGGACCTCCTCGACCACCTCTCATGCCTCCGCGCATCATCATCATTCCTGGTGGGCCTCCTCTGCTCGGTCCCATGCCCCGCATGCCACCGCGGCCTCCGCGCATCGGCGGACCATCACTGAATCTGAAACGAGCGATAGATATTCCCTATATGATGATTCGATGCATTCTTCCGGAGGTCGGGGAAAACCACCAAGCCGTTCCCCCCGCTCACGCGGACTCCCACCCGAGGAATTTCGAGTCGCGCACAACGGACCAGGATGAAACTAGCAAATGAACTATATTGATCGAGCTCCTGAATAATGAAGAGAGAAGCTCGAAGCTTACCCAGGCGGTCCGTTCATCCAGGGGGGCATCGGGCCGTCCATGAAGGATGGTGGTCCTCCGAAGTCATCGTTGGGGCCTCCGGACCCACCCATGGGTCCTCCACCGCGACCGCCGCGTCCTCTCATGAAGTTTGGAGGGCCTCCTCGACCTCGGAAACCGCCTTCGAACGGCATCGGACCGTCTCCATTCGGTCCGCCCGGACCACCTCCACGCCCTCTCATACCGAAGGGACCACCTCTCATCGGGGGACCCCCGCGTCCTGGGGGTCCGTCTGGCATGCCACCGCTTCGACCCATCATGCCACCGCGCATGGGGCCGTCGAGATCGCCGCCTCTACCCATTCCGGGGCCTCCGCGCATCATTCCGCCCCGGCCCATCGGCGGAGGACCTCCACGTCCTCGGGGGGGACCGTCCCATGGAGCCTTCCTATCCTCGAAATCGTCGAAACGAGACTTCTTCGCTTCTAATTGTCCTCCGTCCAAATCATCGTTGGGTCTGCGGATTCCACCGAAACCACCCCCGCGCCCGCCAGGTCCTGGAGGGCCTCCGGGTCCTGTCGATCCTCCGGGGCCACCGAAAGGTCCTCCGAAGCCGGGTCCACCACGCGGACCTCCTCTCGACGCCGCGGACGATGGCTGCATGCCTGCCATAGCCAGCATTTTTTCTTGTAGACCTAGAGGAGCGTCTGGTTGACCGTCGTTCCGGCCGGCACCGATCGGTCTACCGAGAGGTTCCTTGTTAGCGTTACCCGATCGATCTTCATCGGCATCGGTGAAACGAGATCTTCTTGGACCGCCCCTGAAACAATTCGAATTGGGAATTGAATGTCGGAGTCTCTGAACAATTCCATGGCGACCGACTCAATAGCGAGGAGAGAATTCGGGAAAAAATAGGGAATCAGTATTTACCGGTCTCTCTCATCCCTGCGTGCAAATCGATCGTCGTCGCGATCTCTGTCTCGATCCCGATCCCCGGCCCCTGGTCCCCTGTCGTCGAAGCGCGGCGGGCGATCCTTGTCCGAAAACCTCGATCCGCCCCCATCGAAACGAGACCCGTTTCTGTCTCCACGATTGTTCATGCTCCCTCCTCTTGCACCTGGACGTCGATCTCCGTCTCTGTCAAATCTACTGTCGGGCCTCGATTCGAATCTCCGGTCCCCGTCTCTGCCCGGTTGGAAGCGGTTCGGGGATCTTTCTCTAGCTGATCCGTTTCCGGTCGGATCTCTCGGATTCCAAGGTCGTCCCTTGCTGTCATCGTTCAGACGCGGCTGCCAAGGCTGTTGTTGCTTGTCGGGTTGTTGGTAGGCCCCGGTGTTGTCTTGAGGTGGATAGGCGCTCTGTTGTGTAGTCCAGGGGGATACTTGTGGCTGTCCACTCTGTTGGCCCCACGGACCCGGAGTCTGCTGTTGCTGCTGTTGGGGTGGTGGCTGCTGCTGTGGTTGTTGTTGTTGCGGCTGTTGCTGTTGTTGCTGTTGTTGCATACCGTTCAGCGTTGGGGGGACAGGTGGAGCGTGCAGAGGGGGCCATTGAGTCGAAGCCGCTGCTGCCGCCGCCGCCGCTGCAGCCGCGGCCGCGTGTTGCTGTTTCAACTGCTCTTTTCGTTGCAGCAATGTCTGTCGTAACGAGCTGGCTTGCTGAACGAAGTTGTTATATGCCTCTCGATCGGGATGGTTCCGGTTCTCATCGAGCCATTTGTTGTAATTGCTCTCCCACTCGTCGAACTGACGTTGGAACGTTTCCAGACTCTCGGTCGGCGCCATCTGTTGAGGGTACGAACTCCAAGCGGTTGCCCCCGTCGGTGCGGCGCTCTGTGTCTGATATCCTTGCCATTGCTGTTGAGCGTATTGAGCCCACGCTTGCTGCAGAGCAGCTGCAGCCGCCGCCGAGTTAGGATCCGCTGTTGCAGCTGCCGTCGCAGCTGCGGCTTGCGGTTGTGGTTGCGTCTGGTTCTGGGGCCACTGTGCGCTAGCGGCAGTCGATTGGGTCCAGGGGTAGCCTGGTTGAGCTCCTTGGGCTGCGCCACCTGAACGAAGACAAAAAATAGGAAACTCGAGTCGAGTGAAGTTGTACACACAGCGGTTTGTCTGCGTGAAGGAAATTGGGCGGCAAAAGAGAATTCCGAGGCTTCGGTCTCGTGAACACTAGTCACTGGACGGGCACGCGACACCGATCGAACTGGCGTCGTCAGCTCACGCGGAATCGCCGGTTTGAACGCTCAACTTACCGGAGGCCGAGTAGCCGTACATGGCGGCTTCAGCAACGAGGGTCGACTTTCTGATAGCTCTTGTCCTAACCAAAGACGTCCACCCTCGATGTTCTCACAAATAGTCTCTCCGACTCGGCTGCTCCACCGCTCTTCGCATCACCGTGAGACTAAGAACGCGGAAAATATTAAACTGTCGAAATGTAAACCTCGTCGACGACACACAACCACCATGATATTCGACGGGAGGCAAACACAGCGCGTCCTCTCAAAATGCCGGCTGCTTCTCTCCGGGAGGTCTTTAAGCACAGGGCGCTGCGTTTGAAACAAGCGCAGGGACCGCCGCGCGAAACTCGAGGGAAAGCCGGAGGCGAACCGTGATGAAGTCGACTTCCTCAGTAATATCGAGCTCTGTGGGACGGTCTCGCCCGATATCCGGATGAATCACGACAGATCTGGTGATGGACTTGCGGCGATCAGCGGCAAGAAGAAAATCAGTCCGACGTTCGGCTGGGCGCGCTGACACCTTGAGCACTCTTCTGAAATCCCTTCAGTGAATTCCTCTTATTCTCCGCGCAAGACATCCATAGCGGAACATGGATCTTCGGACTTCAAAACTCTGGAACGCGAGGGTTCCGAGCTCTCGACCCCAGCCTGCGGTGTGCATCGGTATCCAGGCAACGCGACTAGAATAACAACCCCTCGATGATACTCATTCATGAGTCTCTCGCATTGTGTGCGATTTTGGGGTGGTGAAGCCGAACTCTCAGGATGCTGTCCGAGGTAAGTCGGAGCACGGAGGTCCCGATGCTCTTCGAGAAACCGTTTAGGCCCTTCTCGCGACTTCCTGGTGTTCCAAGACGACCCACGAAAATATTGATGTCGACTACTGACCTACGTGGCATCATGTTTTTCTCTGTCCGACCGCATCTCTTTTGCGTACCGGTTCCCCCTGCTGTTCTGGGGGAACCGACCTCCCGGCACAAGTCTGCCAGATTCCCGATCATCTCATTATCCGAGCATACAATATCAGGTTGGAAAAATATGTCATATCCTACGATCCTTCCAGGTAGCCTCGTAGAAATATGAATCGAACCAGCCCGTGAGCGAAGGCATTCGCTTCCGACGTATTTTGGTGACGCATCATCATCGTGCTCAAATGGGGTCACACAGCGGATTCGAAGTGCCTCGTTTCGTCGTACTTCTCGGCCACTTTGTTCTCCTGATCGTTCTACTGTGGGATGTAGAAGTCGTCGCGAAGTCATCTCTACCTTGGTCTCAACGAGATGATCATTCTCGGGTAGAATCTGTTCAAACACAAATCACCGCGGGTCTTGCAACTTCAACGACATTGGTGGCTATAGAGCTCACATGTTTCATGATTGGTGCGTAGGCGATGTAACTCTGCAGACGAGCACTGTCCACTCACACATATCGCGGGGACTGATGCAAGTATCCATAGTTGTATTTGAAAATCCAGATCCTCATCGACTTGATCCTATTTCCAGGAGCATCGCTTTTCTTCCCCACTCAGTGTCTGTCGTCGGCAGTGGTGCATTCGATAAGTTTCGTCTCGTTAGCGTTCTTCATGGCTGATACCTTTCATGTGAAATACTTCTGGATCTTATTCGTTCTTACAGCCTTGTCCTGCATGGCCGAGGTTACTATTCTGTTCGGCGCGCTGATATTGAACAAGCCCCTTTGAACGACATAGCTTGATCGCCAGGGAGTATTGTGCGGAATAAAGCAATTCATTCTCTGACCAATAAAGTGCTGCCATCGGGTTTTCGTTCTTTGTCGAGGAGAAGCTAGGGGACTTTTTCACCCTGATTGAGTCGGAAGAAGCCGTCGGGAGGAGCCTGAAGCTTAATCGCCGAACTTCATCAGCAAGCTTTCGTTCCGTTGAGCAAGAATCGCCTACGGCACACAGCCTGTGAAACATGACGGAAGGACGGCAATTATCGTCCTGGGATCGTGGAAACAAGTCGATCAGAAATCACTTTGGGCTTGCTTAAATATTTCCCTAAAGAGTCAAGTCTGTGGCGAAGGCTTCCCGAGGAGTCAACCACAAGACGGAGGGAGAGTAGAGCTATAGCTTGTATTACAAACTATATATGCAGGCAAATGCAATATTGCCTAGAACCAGGTATGGCTAAGCGAGACTCTTGTCCAGGATTGAGGCGGGGAGGTTCTCCGCAGAAAGAATAGTGGCGGCACATCGAAGAGAAGTCAGGGATACTCCTTCCTAATGCAACAGCTCTTTATTGTACGAATCTTGAGCGTAGAGGGCAATATTTCTCGAAGATGATCTCCTAAATATCGACATCTGAGTTTCGAAGGATATTCCTGGAGCTATTCTCCAGCTCAAGCTCTTTAAGCTTCTGCGCAAGCACCACGTCGATGTCGTGCTCTTTGAAGTTCGGATCTCTCCCGGGATCGTCGCTGCGAACATCGATGTCCTTCTCTCCGAAGGTTTTTTTCATTAGCTCTCGACAAGCTTTCCTGGCGATGTCCAGTGACGCTCTGTTAGGAACGTCGAATATCTCGATTTCTTCGAACGAATCTTCCCCGAAAGAAATGTTAAGCGCGGTGTTATAATCCATGTTGGGTTTCTCTCGACCTTCGCTGCCATTTTTCAAGATCGCTTGGACTCTGGAACCGAGCACGTCCGGGGTGTGTTGACTCACAAATTGGAGCGAAGCTCCGTGAGAATGAGCGAGGAACCTCAAACAACGGCACACAATTTTTTTATGCTCAGGCTCGAAATCTCGGAATATGTCGTATTTGGTACCGAGTATGAGTAGGGGGACCGGGAAAACATCCATAACTTTGAGGTCTGGATGTTGTTCGCCGATTCGAGCTCGAGCTCCAGACTCCACGGTCGCGGCGAATCCAGGGACGCTCTTCTCTGTCGAGCTCATCACAGATGCAAGACGTTCCCTGACCTCGCTCAGGAGACAATCCATGGTCACGAACAGCTCATCTGGAGCCGAAAGATCCAGAACAAGGATCACAACTAAAGACATCACGCTACGTGAATTTATCGGTATCGATACCATTTTCTTGAATGTTGTCCCGCCGGCTAGTTCGTAGATATGGCAAACATCCGATCCGGCCCCGAGAATCGATCGTCTTCCAAAAGAGTATTCCAGAGCTACTGAGGGTTTCGGATGATCCGAGCGTTCGAGGAATTTCGATATGATCGAGGTCTTTCCAGCTTGTCGACTGCCGATGAAAAACATGGTGCTCTCGACGCAATTGTTCTCGCGGTCCTTCTGCTTCATTTTATGCACGCTGGCTGCGTAGTCCCATAAGTTGCCAAATTGTTGTACGGTGTTCATTATTGTGTGCTTGATTTTCATTCCTCGCGGAACTCGACTCGAAGGGGTTCAGCCAGATGCTGATCGGCTCGATTCCTCACCGTGGGCATATCCTCACTAGTATCGCATGGCGGTGTATTGGTTACGGATGCGCATAGAACCTCTCAGTAGGCGATAACTCACAAACTCCGTATTGCTGACGCAGTAGCTGATGACCCGAACCTCACAGCGGTATTCCAGCGTCTGAACTCCGAACTCGCTAAAGTTCTTCATTATTGCGCCGAAATTAGGAAGGCTCCGAATGCTGACCGATCTAAATCAGATAAGCATCCCAGTCGCCATGGAAACCACAGTGTCGGAGAGTACGTCTGCCGGTTGTCGACGGCCTCTCCTCTAGCGCTCGACGTCCTGATTCCCTGCCTCGAGAATCCCGAATTCCTTCCTTGTCACGAATCCCGGAATCACACGATAGGATCGACCGCATTTCCTCCGGCTCAATTCCTCTCGAAGCCAGATATTCTTATTCTGATAAAGGGTTGACCCCCTCGGTCTCCCGTAGATCGAGCCTAGGAAGCGATGCATCGGAATGATTAGAGGGCTCTGCAAACTCGGCCTCCTCCAGGTTCTTCGACTAAGGAGGCTCCTTTCTCAATTATTATTATACAGGGATCCGCCCTAGAGTTTCGTGGCAAGAGTCCTCGGATGACGCCTCGCTCGCTTGAATGCTCAAACCTCGAATGAACAGGCAAATTTATCCGACGGGGCTTGTCGTTTATTGATCTTTTATTAGGCTGTCCTTGCTTGGTATGGGTACAAATTTTTCTGTGACACCATGGTTTTCCTCCGCTGCACAAAAACATGACACTCAGGGTTAAAATCGCTAAGAAGCGTACTGTCATCTTCTCAGCTCGGGAAAACCTCAAATGAAACCCAGATGGGGATTCCTCGCGTCAGAAACCCCATGCTCAGATCGCGAGATTCCGCGCATCCAGCTCTCGAAGTCGTATTCGATTCTGGTAGGTGTGAAAATTTGTCTTCTAAATAATGCATTCTAAATTTTTTAAAAGTGTATGAATCCTCCTAAAATGGCGCTCCGCAGCGACCTTATTATCTTTCGCCTGTCGTTGTACAACGGTCTGTTTGTCTCCCGACCTTCGAGTCATAATTTAAGTTAAGCTGAATCTAATATGCTTTCTGCACTTCCCTTATCGATTGCATCCAGTCATCGCGAATTTGGGGGCTTTCCGCCGTAAGAACTTTGGTGAAACCGACCCCCAAGAGCTCGAAAGATGTGCTATCGTAGGCCTCTTGAAGCTTGATCTTAGCTACGGCTTGGTGCTCCACGGTTTCGTCTTTTCTGAAAAGATTTCCTCCCCTAGTCCGAATGATCACGTGTCGAGCGCTCTGTAAGCGAAAAAGAAAAGCCCGTGAGACACCAAGCGCACAAGTCGGCGTAGGGGGGACCCCCCTACTAGATGCAGACAATTCCTGAGAACAGGCATAGAAATTCCGTCGTCTGCACCAAGCGCACTCGACAGAGCATAGGCGATGCTCAACGAATATGCAGATGCGAATCACTGAGGAGCGCTCAGATATGAGGGTTGGTCTATTCTTCTCCCTTTGGAGCATAGAACAGTGATCGTGCCGAAGAATGGGAAACGGAGGTATGCCTCTGGCTCCCAGAGTGACCTGATAAAGACTTGAAGTGCCCTCGGAGGAAGAGTCAACCCGAGCACAAGGATCGTCGTGGGACTTTCCAGAACTGAGGATGAATTCCTATGCTTCAGAATTAATTGAAGAAAATCTTCCTCGTCACCGGTACTTTATTCGACTTGAACGAACACAATAGTTATCGGCGCTCTGAGCGTAGAGATTCTAGCTTCAAATTAAATTATACACATTCCAGAGAAATTTTCTAGAATCACAAGAGTTATCTAGGCGGAGAAAAGGAGTTACCAACCAAAATAACATCGCACTTCGCAGCATCTTTGGAGCCGCATTTCGGAAGACGGAAAGTATCCATTTTCAATACGAGCTCGTTCACGCTCTTCAGAGTGCTCGGTATAGCCGACGGCGCGATTCCCTGAAAAGATCGTAGTTGATCATCATGTCAATGCTATCGCCCTCCCACCGCACGATGGGACAACGGGAAATTTGCAATCAAAATCATCCTGAGGATGAGGACAACGGACCTTGATCCCGCTTAGGGTCGGTTGTTCCTTGTCCAGCCACTGGATCAAATCTTGGATCCGACGCAGAACTGGCGTCTGTAGCTTCGAGTTGTACTTCGTGAGCAGGGTGAGCAGATGGAACAAGTGGTCTTTGACCACAGTCGGGAAAGTAGTGGTGTTGACGTATCGGTGGAAATCGTCCTTCTGTAAAGTTAGAAGAAAATCGTACCAACGCAGAAGCATTAATTAGCAAGATCGTCCGAGATTGGATCGAGATCGATCAATGAATACTGCGCCACGAACCATAATGGCTCTATTCTCCATGTCCATGCGCGCCAAGATCTCTGGTTTGTTCTTCCAAGAAGCGCATACAGCGACGGACTCGCTGAACTTCTTGAGTACAGGATGGTAAACCTCCTTCATTCGAGATACGTTCCAGACGTCTGCGAGAACATCCCGTTGATTGGATTCGATGGCTCTCTCGAGGCGTTTTCGAGCCGCTGAGTTTTCCGCTGAGATCTTACGCAGTTCTTCAGATGTTTGGAGAGCGTTATCGTCCCCTGATTCCATGAAAACGCGGCCGAGTACTTCGAGCCGCTTCGCATAGATGCTCAAAACATCGAGAGTTTCTTTAACGATGTGATCCACCGATCCCATCCTGTAGCGTTGAACGAGACAGGTGAGATAAATATTATTGAGACCGCGGTATAGGTATGGATGAGCTTATCGATCGCATTCTGAGATGGATTCGATTCGCCGGCTCATGAATGACGTTCCAGCATCGGTGCGTTCATAGAATGGAAGAGACACGATGAGAGCCGGAACGAGATGCCGCCTCGGAACAGGGCTCGCGAAACGAGTGATCAGTGATTTATTAGGATCCCCTACGTTTTTGTCACGACTCCTCAGGAGTGGGATGAAAATTGGCTCGAGCTGAGCGTTTTGTAGGGTCATCGGAGGCAGCGAAGTTTCGCCGATGGCCAAAATCACAGGCTTGAAACTTAATCTATCGGGAACGATCGTGTCCCGTCCACCAAACTGACCTGAACAGAGTCGTTTTTTTTTCCGACGGCTCAATTTATCCACGAATATTTCACCCGCGTCGCGATAAGACGGGAAGCAACGCTCGACTTGGGAACGAATGTCACGCTCACCCTCCACTGTCCTCTCTGCACATTCGGATTTGCACGTCAAATCTGAAGGCATCCTAAATGTGCGGAAGGAATCTCAGGGAATCGCAGGCCCTCATTGGTCATGCACAGGATGAGGCTATGTTCCGGATGAAATCTGGAATCTCTCCCTCGAAAGTGCTCTCGCGGCATCCGAGCTCTCCCCTTCTTCTGTCAAGCACGATGTCCGCTCCGGATTGCTGTTGTTATTAGAATTCCACGAGGTAGAGCATGATCGAACCAGAATGTATAAAATCTGCCACAGACGACAATCCCCAACCGAGGTGCAATATTTTTGATTGGATTCTGAAAGATGAGTCAACGACGAAGACGCAATACATGCTGAAGCTGCCGGAGCTTTTAGGAAAAAACCCGTTTAGATATTGGAACGCCTATTTTGGTCTCAAACGCTTGCTCGAATACTCTGGCGCCGACGCTGAAGTCCGCGGACAGGAAAGAGTTGAGCCGATTCCTTCCAAATCGTAATTAGCGGCTGCCTAACAAAGTCCGATATTCTCCGTAGCGGGGTGTAGGCTGACTCGTAACGCCTACGGCGAGCGGCAACAAGTGATCTTCGCACGATCCCGTTGTCTGGCCTGCCCAGCCGGGCGGCTGACTGACGGAATGGCTTCTTCTTCTCTTCGGCGGATCTCAATTGGTTATCGATTTCTTTGTGGTAGGCAGAATCGTCTTCAGGTCATTCGTGGAAGGTTGCGCCATTCATCCTTGAACTCCGTCGGTTTTAGAGCCTCTAGAAAAAACAAGATCAATCAACTAGTGGGTACTATAAAGGGCTCAAGCGAAAGTCTGGAAGCACGGAAGACTTTGTCTGACTACTCCTGCTACACGTCGATCCGCGGTAGTCTGGTTGTTGAGGGAGGAAGTCCGCCGACTCGTCATCGACTCTGTGGGAGTTTATTCCGGCGAAGCTTTACCGATACCCTCCGGTTCGCAGGAGCACAGAACGAATCGCGCAGACTTCATGTAGGTGTCCGAGATTCCTCGGTAGTCGACTGCATTTCTATGCTCTTCTACGACCAAGCGGGATCGAATCGCCGATTCTCCACCGAGTTCGAAGCACCTATCAATATCTTCGACAATAGAGCGTCTGCTCGAGCCTCCGAGAGGTGGGCAGTCTTCGTGTCAGCAATCCGTATGGCTCAGAGGACATACAGCTGCTGTTTCGGGTCAGCAACGTGAAAGGAGCGAGGTAGCTGCCAGTTGTTGTCTTGTCCGACACCAGCTCTATCTCACTTATGCTGTTCCGTCTTTCAGCGTTTTAATTGTCATAATTGCGAAAACTCCGCCAGCGGCGGCAGGAGCTCAAGACAAAGCATCCTTCCTAGCTCCGTGAGTTTTCCACAGTCGAAGTGTGCATGTGTGAGCAAGCGACTCCGCGCGTTTGTAACTCACCAGAAAGCAACTCGTGAGGTCACATAAGTTCGCGGAACCAGTTTTCTGGTTTCGTTAGGAAACTAAACATTTTCCTCCGTTTTGCTGCATATTCGCGTTTCGAAGATGCGGCATCGGAGTCGCAATATAGAAAAAAAATACTCTGACGGGAATCTGATTCGAACAAATACCTTCAGGAGCACCTAACTGCTAATACTCGGCAACATCCGTCACCTCGATCTGCTTCAGATCGACCGACGAGTACTGAATTGGCATCTTGAATGTTGTCGGCTCCACGCGATCTAAGATTGGAGAGATGTCTCGGACAACGGGACCCCATCAGGAGGCTCGCGTGCTTTCGGAGGTCTAAATCTGGGCGAGAACAGACAGAACTTTGCGTCAAACATTCTCGTAATTTAGAATTGCTGATTCCGAAGCGGATACCGATCCCTACCAGTGGCGTTCCTAGCCCATTTTGCGCCCGGGGCAGAGGACGGGAATGCGCCCCCTTCATGTCGATTTTTTTTCTACAGAAGACGACGGATTGAGTTTTCAGTATACTTTACATATACATCTTTACATTTATTGTTCTGATCTCTTCACTCTGTTTAAACTTAAAACATTCGAAGGTTCCGAATTACCACGTATCACAATATACCACATGTTTAAAATACGACTTTTCGAGCCTTCACCGAAGCGAAGGTATCGATTAAAGATTCGAAGTCGGTGTCCTCGGTGACTTCTCTCTCTATGCTCATGATAGAGAGATCAATCAGTCTGTCTTGCCCCATTGACGCTCGGAGGTATGATAGGATGAGCTTAAGCTTGCTGAAGGATCGCTCGCAACTGGCGATCGAGACGGCAATCGTCAGTAGTATTTGTATCGCTACCCGAAGATTGGGGAAGACACTCTCGTCGCCGTATTCTATGATGAAATTGAGGAGTTCTTCGGGTTTCCTTAATCGTAACTCCTCCCGCACGCTGACTAACATCCTACAATCACATATCTCTCTGTATAAGTCGTTACCGTCGACATCATCCGAATACATATTCGCAAATGACAAACAATCGGACCTCAATTCGTTCAGCTGGCCTTGTAGTAGCCGCTGAGTGTCGAGAAGGAACCCGAAAGTATTGTCTAGGTTTGTCAGTCGCTCGAACCTTTCTCTCATTTCTCGCTGAAGCCGGTCGATCGTTGAGTACATAACACGGCGCATTTCTTGTATAGCGGAGATTTCAGAGTTTCGGTGTTCATCTGGCATACTTCTTCTTCTCCTATTGCGTTTCTCGAATGCTACATCGTATTCATCGCAGAGGCATTGGCCATCAGTGATGGCTGCGTCTACGAAATCGCATCCTTCTCTGGAGAAGGTGTTCTTCAGAGACGACAGATCATTGGCAGCTTCATGGAAATTCATGGAGGGATCCTGGAGTCTCTTCTGGACCCTATCGACTCTGCTCAGGAGGTTATTCCAGAAGCCGTGAAGCGTCAAGAATTCATACGAGACCATGCGGGTGAATAACTGACGTGCCTCACTTCTAGTTTCTACCGAGTCGCAGGAGTCATCAGACATTTTATCCAGGAGATCGATAATCTCCCTGACATGCGTGCTGACTACTTTGACAGCATCGCTGCGAGAGCTCCATCTTGTTTCAGACTCGCGTTTCAGTCCGACGGGGATCGTCTTTTTCAACTTCTCCCATCGCAGAGTCGAACGGGAAAAGAAGGCGTACAGGGCTTCAATAGTCGCGAAGAAGCTAATCATTGCTGGTTCACTGCGGGCAGAGTGCAAGCCGGCTAGATTGAGGGAATGATTATCACAATTCACGAATAACGCTAAACCATTCTTCTCGAGCAGCCGTTGATTCACACCGGAGCGGTGACCGGCCATGACGGCGGCATTGTCATAGCATTGGGACCGGCAGTTCCCGAAATCCAGCTTGTCGTCCTCAAGTTTTTCAAGATCGTCGCTACCAATGCCTCAGCATTCTTTTCATGTACTTGAACGAAGCCGAGGAAAGACTCCCTGACCTGAGCTTTTTTCTGTTCATAATCAACGTCGACATATCTCAACACGAACGAAAGTTGCTCTCTGTGAGCAAGATCGGGTGTGGAATCCACGAGAATCCCGTAATATTTGGCCTTTCTGATTTTTCTCAGGAGTTTTTCCTTCACTTGTCCTGCCATGAGATGAATGAGCTCATTCTGCGTTCTAGACCCCAGATAGGACGTCGAGCCCGGATTTCCCCGAGAGCGAGTCATGTGGTCCTTGATGATTGGGTCGAAGTTTGCGACGAGCTTCATTAGGCCGAGAAAATTCCCGATATTACCCACGTCTTCGCATTGGTTTTCCCGGTGGCCTCTGAGTGGCAAATTCTGTGTAGCCAGGAATTTGATGCAGTGACTTATTCTGCTGAGAACATACCTCCATTTCTGTTTCTCGGTTGCATACACTGATTGCACTTCGATATCGATAGCGCTATTAGTTCTCAGATTTCTTTCGAGCTCTTTCCAATCAGCGAAACAGGCTCTATGAGACGGAGCATTTTCATGAGCATCCATCCTTTCTATATTTTTTCCACTTCGTGAATCCTTGGGAGGACGTCAGTGCTGAATTGTGTCCATCAGCTCTGGCGAAGAGAAGGCAGCAGAAGCAGTAAGCTGCGCCCTTCGTTGGAGAGTAGACGAGCCATGTGCGGAGAATCTTTGTGCCGAGGCCATTTCCCAACCCTTTGTAGAACCACGATTGAGTCATGCATCTCCGCCGCGTCGAAAAAAAAGGGCCGTTTCTGTTCTGAAAGTACTCGCTCCCTAGGGTCACCATCTCAACTCTTAAACTATCGGAGACGGTGACTTTTCCGGAATTCGAGTGAAACTCCAGTAGCCCAAGATCGTGCTCGGCGATAGCTGCCGGTGTGGATGAGACATTGGTTATGAGTGAGTCTTCCGGAGCGTTCACTGATGATGCTGTGACACTGGTATCCCGGGAAATTTCTTCCGAAGTCACTGGGTCTGAGTCGCCGTCATAAAGAGAATCAGTCGGGGTCGGCGGTATTTCATGGCCATCACGAAGAGATTCAGTCGGAGTCGACGGTATTTCATCGCGAGCACGAAGAGAATCAGTCGGAGTCGACGGTATTTCATCGCGAGCACGAAGAGATTCAGTCGGAGTCGACGGTATTTCATCGCGAGCACGAAGAGAATCAGTCGGAGTCAACGGTATTTCATCGCTATCACAAAGGGAATCAGGGGGAGTCGGTGGTACTTCATCGTGATCAAATGGGGTTCCCGGCGGAAGAGTTTGCGGTGTTGTCGATTTGTTCCGAGCTAAAAATGACAGGAGAACCTTTCGACTTTTCTCCGTCTGTCTATGGATCGATTTCCTTCGTTTTCGGCCCTGAGCTCCGCTTTCCTTAATACCATTTCGTTTCATGTCTATACTTCAGTCTGCAAAACAAGCTAACATGAGAGCTTCGCCGTGACTCGAGTCATGGATTTGGAGCTTCAATTTCATCGGAGAAGTCGCAGAACTCACCCGAATTTCCACAGTAATGTATGTGTGTGTATTTCTCGCAGAACCCTTAATTGTTTACGCGCCAAACTTTGGCGAGAGAGCGAGATAGTGAATTCCGTGTGGCGCAAAGACACGGGGAGGAGGATCAGCGAGGGTCACTGGGAACGTACATATATCTCTTGGAGACATTCGCTTCACTCGAGCGGACCAATAGGATGGCTCTCCATGTTGCGGGAGGAGATAGCTTCACTGTCTCTTGTATAAATTTTGAATTCCACTGTATTAGAATCAATTCTAACCTCCCTATTCGCGCTTAGCTAAAATGAACAGAAATCACGATTTTGCGCCCCTCCGAAGTCGGCGCCCGGGGCACGTGCCCCGGTTGCCCCCCCCTAGGAACGCCACTGATCCCTACGACCCCATGGGTATGATGATTAGCTCTCCAAGAGAGCGAGAGATACATTGAAGTCTGGAGTGATGCTTCTGGAGCTGTCGGGGTGGGAACCGTCAGTGGAGCGGGCAGGGGTCGGTCACCGTGGTACGGGGGAGCTCGTCCCGGCGCAGCGCGAGAGTTCTCCCAAATATCCCCCCGAGGACAATAGAATGGATTTGGCCGAAGTCGTGGAGGGCATTCCGAGTTCCGATCAGGGCAATGCATATTCCTTGCCTTGCCACAAGCCCCGTCTTGGGTGTGACTCTATCAGGAAGGGGACTGATGAGAGCTGCATAGAATCTTCATTTCCGTAAGGTTGGGGTACAGCCCCAAGTCCACTTTTTTTCTGGAGCTCGCTCGAGCCCGTCGTCGCGTCGGTCGGTCATTCGTTCGAAAGGAGAAACTGCTGTCTATTCCCCTGCGGCATACAGCCTTGACGTTGTATCTATAGACCGAACGGGCAGGCGAGCGAGCAAACGGAGCGACGATGACGGCGACGAGTGACTGAGCTAGGCGTCAAAGAAGACGCGGAACAAAAGTTGTCCTTCGGCTCTGCATTGATGTCGAGTCAAGCTGAGTCAAACCGTGCACAGGATGACCGTATGTCAGCTTGACCGACCGAAACGAAATCCACGGCTAGCAAATGTATACCAACGGAATAATCCACCGCAGAGCGACCTAGCCGTCCAACAACCGCCTCCCCGCGAGTACGGACGGCCATCGGTTCGATCGTGCTTGGGAAACCGATCGTACACATGTAGATTTTTTGAAAATCAAGACGGGGATCGGAAAATCCTTCCCGAAGAAATACGTTTTTGTCTGGGACAGCGGTTTCAAAACGATATTTTCGCGCATGCTGTCCAACACATTCAGGCAGATTGACAACTTCCGATTTTGTTTCACATTTATCATAGGGAAAGCGAGAACCGCATATCAAGTTCTCCGTTTTGACAATCATCCATCAACGTCACAGTGTTCACTCAAATAAACGATTTCCGATGCGTTGATGGGAGACGACGAACGATAGTTCGACGGAGTGAGACATATTGCGAAGATCACGTGATCAGAGAAATCGGCCCGTCTATCCCGACAGCTTTCAGTGAAGCGCTGAAACTTCCGTGGCCAGCAAAGGTTTTCGGTACGCTGACGGAGGGAGAGGGCGCGGTCGGAGGAGGATGCTCTCTCTAGAAGAATTCCGAAATCTCAGCTCTTCATCTGGGCTTCTCAACCACCGAGCATTTGACCTTGGTGCGTCCATTTCTTCAATACATACTCCAGAACCTGCCCCTCTGTCGGAAACTCCCCGTAGATTGGACACTGCTCTTCTTCCTGATTGTCCACGGTGTGTAATCCACTGATTATCATCATCCATTAGAGCTCAATACCGGAATTTGAAGGATTCTTAATCGGCAAGGCATATTTCCTCCAGCCCTAAGGAGAGGCAGCCCACAATTCTTCGCGGCTGATTTGAGGATATTCTCGACTTCCCCCCTCGGAAAGTCTGCGTCGAGTATCCGACGGTGCAGCGAGCTCGTACAATATCCCATGCTCGTACTGTTGTCAAATTCGCTGTCGTTCACGGCCGACAGCATCATTCCATCAGGATTTGCATTGATGGATAGAAGAGATATTCCGTCGTCTGATTTCGAATAACACTTCAGGAGGCTTCATCCGATCGGGAAGACGGCAGAGATCGACGCGCGTAGACGCCGATGAGCGACCTCTCCCTGGAGGATCACCAAAGTTTAGTCGGGAATGTATCGACTCAAAGCTACGGTGGGGGTTATGGATGTGACTGTCGATCGTTCCGAAAATGAGGCAAACGCCAGTTTGTTACTTTTCTTCGTAGAGCCATCGTCGCCGTCGCTGATGTTGTTGTAGACGTTCTCCAAGAAAGCGATGAAGAAAAATAGATGGCGAAGTAAGGGAAGAAGAAGAAGGAAACCAACAGAGAAACACGAATAACATCCCGGTGATAATTAGAAGGGGGAGACAGTCGTCGTCGACGACGACGAGAAAGAAGCGACAATTACGGGGCCCGTCCTCGCCGTCGAGAAGCATCAGCCCCGACCCACCACCAACACCAACAACGACCGAAACCAAGACCAAAGATCAACCAAGCAGCCAGTCAACCGGCCGGCCGGCCAGCGAAGGAACCAGACAACCCACCACCCAAACCAAAACTTGATATTCACTTCATTTACCCTTCGCTCTCTCGACAAGCATTCAAAAATTAGTTTTCCGCGCAACGGCGTAAGTTTCCAGGCTTCGGTAAGACGACAGCCCAAGCATTTAATATATTTACGAGTTGATTAATGTTGCTCTCAGTCAACCAGACGATTTGAGAGCAATTATCCGAAACTCAACTCGATCGAACAGCGAGCAATCTGTCGGTATCGGGTTGGGGAACAGAAGTTGGAAGGGACATAGTTCCTGTTCTCTTACCGCACACCTCCACGGATGCCAGCAGACGCAGAACAATTATGTCTGAATGAGTTCAGAACGTCCACCGACTCACTTAACGTACCTCTGGACCTCTAGCCATCCGAGGGATCGAATTCGTTCACATTTTTGGAGCTCAGCGGATTCCTGAGGATAGTTTTATTTCGACCTGTGTGCTTTCCTGATGTTTCTAATTTGCCTGCTCGATCGCCTCCCCTTCATGGTGAGGAAAGATCGGGACAGTTTTGACGGACAATGTCGATTTCGTTCGAAGGGACGTTCTCGAGAGGATCTGTTGCGGAACCATTTCTAAGCCTAGACATCTAGAGAGGGGTCTTGGATATTCCTCGTTGAGAAAACGAACAAACACAGACGAGGAATTTGAAAATTCGCTGATTCACAAGGATTACCACGCGCCGCTCCGTTCGGAGCGCTCATGCTTGAAAGAGGAGGATCACGCGCACGATTATGCGAGGTTCTTCACTTGAGGAATGAGACGGGCTCTGACGTGTGAAATAATTTCTTTTCCTGAGAGCGATCAGCTTCAGATTCATACTTCCATGCTGAATTCGGTGGACGATTCTCGCCATCAGCGGTGCGGCTCACTTGTTCAACATTCGATTGATGGTTTCATCAGGGCGCCGTGTTTTACCCCGGCGAGCGGGTGCAGCCAATAGAAAGTTCAACGGAGGGACTGAACAACAAAATTGAGGAGTGCTCGATTTCGAGGCCTGTGTCGAGTAATCGAGCTTCTCAAGGTGTTCATTAGTCGGAGCGTACGCTTGTTCGCTTTTTCGATGAGCAAGCGGGCGGGCGGGCGGTCGGCGGATTGACGGGCGTTATCACACGCGCGAGCTCATAGCGAGCCAGTGGTTGAATTAATAAACAATTAGTCTCCCAATATTTGAAAAATATTGCCTGTCTTCTTTTTCAGCACCAAAACGGCTACCGGTGTTGAGCGGAGCTTGAAAAAATGCGGGAATTCGAAGGCGGCGGAGAAACTTGGTCAACAAAACGGCTCCGTTGAGAATCATGGGGACATTATCCTGACCGACCGTGTTATCGCTCGTACGTCCGTCAGTCCGGTCGTGTGGGATGAGGTCGTTCGTATCATCTCTGGTCATCTTTGCATCTCGGCTGTGGTTGGTCTGCTTGTCGAGAAACATTCCTGCT